CCCCAAAACCCCAAAACCCCAAAACCCCAAAACCCCAGAGGTATACATGGAGTAAAAATAATGAACTTTTTTTATTTAAAACTATTTATCGAAAGTAAATCATATTTATAATAAACGCAAATATTATATTTTTAGCTTATATTTCTAATAAAAGTAAACTATACTCAGAATTGAATGTTTTCTTCTCCAGTTTACCACAAATTTTCATTGATTTAATAGTTTTTAGTGATGAATTTCTCATTATCTTTTTGATCTTATGTTTTATTATCCCAATCTGATTCAGCCTGCTTTAATGGACTTTTACTATTAGTCTGATTAGTCTTGTATTTCGAATTGATTAATTAATTTGAAGTTTCTAGTTTATTGTCTTCTGATATATCAAGTCCCATTTCCTTAATATCTTTTTCAAGGTCATCTAATCCACAAAAACTGTCTTTGGCATATTCCTCTTGCTATCTATATAGTTTTTATTTAATCAAAATTTACTTTGCTGATATCATGCTTGCATCAAGAAGATTTTTAGAACTTGTTGGAGATTTTGGTTATTTTAAGGGAGAATTCATCTTTAAAGTTTAGCTTTAATTCTTCTAATGATTAGATTTCAAACCTTTTGCCTATTTAAAATCAGTTCCTGTTTCTACATAAGCTAATTGCCTCTCTAGTTCTCTTAGTTCTTCGTCCTCAATCATCCCATTTTTCTTCAAGCTTTAATTATTTTTCAAATCTTTCATTTGCTTAAGTTCTTCATTCTTTCTTTGCTTATTCTATTCTCCAATCAACCAATTAAGTTCTTCATCTCTCACAAAATCTTTCTATTGATTAAGATAGACAGCATCAGTTTAATCTCTGTTGATAGATGCTCTCTAATTTGTCTGAATTTTTCTTCTTAGGTTTGATTATTAATTAGGATTCAAGACTCTAGTATTGAGTTAATGCTGTAATCTTTAAATACAAAGACCTTGAAAATCTACTGTTTTCTCTAATTCATGGACAAAATGAAGAATACCTTTGACTTATTAGCTATCAATATAATCAATTTTAGCCTCTTATTCCTAATCCTAATCTTTATTCTTATTTTTCTACTGCTTCATTAACTCTCCCAATCTCTACTTTTATTATTTAATTTGATTCTTTTTTTCTTGAATCATCTATGCCAGAATTTCATTTACTTAAGGCTTTTTGTTTTTTTCTCTAAAATCTGCCAATAAGTAGATACTTGCATTTTTAAGCTATCTAGTATGCTCACTTCTCTTATCAACTTTTGCCCACTCATCAGATTCATAATTAGGACCAATTATATAATCCAAAAACAATTTATTGAATCCGGTTTTACTCATCTTTTCCTCGAGAGTTTTTAATTCAGTGCTTAGTGAGCTATTTGGATTTTTATTTCTCAATTGTTGTACTTTTTCAAATGTCAATACAAGTGCCTAAACCTTGGTCAAACACTTGATTGGTATCATGGCAGGTTACTTGAATAAAAACAGAGTATGATTTAAAACTGCCCCTTGCCTAAGATACATGATAGAAAAATTATGCTTGCTGTTAAATTTTGTGTAGAGGTCAACAACTCCTTTTTGAATTATCATCATACTATCAGGTATATCACCTGGTCTTTACAAATGGTCTCCTGCTTAGTAAGTAACCAATTCAAAGTTAAATTGTAGAGAATTTTTGTCATCTTCTTTCATAAATTCAAAATGTGGGACTCTATTTAACGATGTCATTGTGAAAAGCCTATGTTTATCCTTATACTATTTGATATTCAACTTCATTTGCATTTCAAGTTTAGGAAAGCTCTAGCATAATTCGTGAAATCTCTCATAACTTAATCTTGCTAGAGTAGAGTATTTACTAGATTAAACAGTACATGATCTTTTGCTACAATAAAAGAAAGCTACTTCCTGAATGAGTTTAAATAAAATATTATATTTACCCCGAAATAATCTCCTGGAAATAACTCTTTAACTTTAATTCGCTCATTTTTGCTTGAAAGGTTATCTTACTGATAAACTGTACAACCTCCTATAGCAATAAAATACATATTAGGATTTTCTAAATAGTGGTTAATAATCGTTAATTTACAATCAACAGTTTCATTTTCTCTGATAAGCTCCTCTTCAGGTGAAGTGAGAATCAACTCCATATTTGACACGATTTGCTCAAGAACAATCATGAGATTGCTAGAGGATATATTTATTATGATATGGTTATCTTTCATTACTCTTGTCATGACAAGAATCTGAACTTTTTGTTTCAAACTCTCAGAGATATTATTGAGAAAATTCTAAAGTTCTTCAGGTTCATCCTTAGTAAGCTCGTTTATCACCATGTGTCTCTTAACTTCTAACTAAATATCTAATGGCAATTATAAGTTTGACATTGCAGTTGAAGCTGCATCGTGTTACTCTTAAAATTATACTTGCTTCTTATTGAGCTCTCCTACAAGGACAGTAATTGTTCCAAATATGTTGGTGTTAACAATAACTGAAAATACTGCAACTATCTACACAAATTGTCTTTCATATAGAACTGTCGGAGCTGTTTCATTTATAAGATACATGAGTACTCCATAGTATAATACTGTGCAGTATTTCATGAGAATATCATCTGAGTCCCAATATTTTGCTCCTAAAGTAAGAGTTTCCGAAGGGGGAATCCAAGTCTTATTCTAGAGCATAATGTAGTAGATAAAGCATGAAAGTACATGCAGGTATAGAAGCAGATAAAATATCATGGTGATAAGTTTGAGAATCTATATTATTATTAGTAAGTTATATTGTTACAGTCTTTGTTTATGAGATAATGTTTATAGAATCTATTAGCTTTCCTATTCTGCTTAGTCTAACTATTTTTAGCATTCCAAAAATAACAAGAAGCTTAGAATTTCCTAACTTGTCGAAGGGTATACTACTGAGCAAATCAAGCCAGAATCTGAAAGATGTTAAATATTATATAGCCACCTTATTAGGATCCGAAATTTCTTCACCAGTCAAAATATTAACGGTTGAGCTTCTAAATTAAACTATGATATCAACGAAAAAAATGCCGTCTATTGTAAGCACTACAGCTTTATATATACTACCCTTAGTAAATGAGGGTTCAAAAGCAAGTGAAAATGGTATTAGAACACTATTGAGAATAGCGCAAGCAATGATGAAAGCATCCCACAATTATTTGAGTTTGGAGTCATGCCTGATCATATATCTATGCTTTTGCTTTTTAGCCTGATTTCTCAGAATCAGATCCTCAGTATTTGTACGGCCTCTTATCTTGAGCACATCTCTTGCTTTTTATATTTTTAGCACGTTTCCAAGTTTTAATTTGTTATACAATACAGAGTGCATACTAGGCTACTTATGGACTTCTCCATCATCAGCATCACTGGAGTCATCTTCAGCTATCAAATAATAATAAAAATCGTAACTTTAATATTCTATAGATTACTTACGATACACAAAAAGTTAAAAAGTTTTGTGGACACTCTCCTTAGTCCTAGAAGTTCTATTAGTGTATTCTTAAGGATCATATAGAGTTTAATGATTAAGTTTAGAGTTGAGTTAAGGAACCATTAGAAGCTGAAGAGCATGATCTATTGGTGTTATTTTCATTTAACTAATTATCTATAATTTCAAATTATTAGTTGCCTTTTTATAATGGCATAATTAGGATTCTCGGGGTTTTGGGGTTTTGGGGTTTTGGGG